TAGTGGTTCAGGCCACTGTACTGTTGGTACTCTTCTTTGTTACTTTAATTCTATCTTAACTTCACAAATTTATTTCTGTGACTAGTTGGTTGGTGTCTGTCTCCTCTGCCACATCCTGCAGCACTCTTGGGCAGGGGATGTTTTTGCTTTTATACCACAATTGTGTTACACAATATCAAGCACATGATAAATATTGAACATTTGAGTAGATGAATGAAGAAGCCAATCTATTCCATTATATTTGAAAGATTAAACTGGTTTTGGGTTAGACTGCCTCAAGCCATTTTTGTTGCTAGGTGCTATGGAGTCAGCTCCAATTCATAGTTACCTTATGTATAACAAAGCTAGCCACTGCCTGGTTCTGCACCATCCTCACAGTATTTGCTGTGCTTGAGGCCATCATCACAGACACTGTGTCAATCCGCATCATCGAGGGTCCTTCCCTTTTTGCTGACTCTCTACTTTACCAAGCATGATATCCTTGTCCAGAGACTGGCTCCTTCTGACAACATGACCAAAATACATGAGATGAAGTCACACCATTTTCTCTTCTAAAGAGGATTCCAGTTGTACTTCTTCCAAGACAAATTTGTTTATTCTTCTGGAAGTCCAAAGTATTTTCAGTATTCTTCACCAACACCACAATTCCAATGCATCAATTCTCTTCAGTCTTCCTTATTCATAGTCCAGCTTTCCCATGCATTTGAGTCAATTGAAAATGACTCAATGCCTTGGGTCACGTATACTTTAGTCTTCAAAGTGACAGCTTTGCTCTTTAACACTTTAAAGAGATTTTGTAGCAGATTTGCCCAGTGCAATATGACATTTGATTTCTCGACTGCTGCTTCCATGGCTGTTGACTGTGGGTCCAAGTAAAATGAAATCCCTGACAACTTCAATCTGTTCTCTGTTTATTGTGATGTTGCTTATTGGCCCAGTTGTAAGGACTTTTGTTTTCTTTAGGTTGAGGTGTAATCCACACTGAGAGCTGTAGTGTTTGATCTTTCACTCCACTTTCAGCAGCTAAGGTGTGCCATCTGTATATCTCAAGTTGTTAACGAGTCTTCCTGCAATGCTGATGCTGCATTCTTGTTCATACAGTCCAGCTTTCTGGATTATTTGCTCAGTGTGCAGATTGAATAATTGTGGTAAAAATATTGCTTTCATAGTATTTGAAGTGTGGCTTCATAGTTACCCCCAAAACCAGTTGCTGTCAAGTTGATTCTGACTCAGGGCAACCCATGTGTATTAGATTAGAACTGTAGTCCATAAAATTTTCAATGCTTGATTTTTCAGAAATAGATGGCCTGGCCTTTTCTCTGAGGTGCCTCTTGGTGGACTCAAACATCCAACCTTTCAGTTAGTAGATGTGCTTATTAAGCAATCATTTGAACCACCTAGAGAATCCATAGTAATCCCAACACAGAGCTATATTCCTGGAATCAGAAAGCCACCATAATTATCTTTTTGGTTTTAAGCTGATCCTTCATTCCTCAAACTCCATTGTAATTTCTTCATATCCTTAAATGTCACAAGAGTCTTTACAACCCAAAGCTTTGTGTTTGGGTTCTCACAAATACCAAAAACCAAACTCACTGCCGACGAGTCCATTCGACTCATAGCTACCCTTCCTTGGGTTTCTGTTCTCTAGTTGGCTCTAACAGAAAATACTACGAAGGGTGGATTTAACAAACATTGATTTAGCCTCTTACTGTTTAGGAGGCTAGAAGTCCAAGTTCAAAGTGCCAACTCCAAGGGCTGGGTAAAAGCCCCTCAACCTTGGGCTTTGGCTCTGCCTCTTGCTCTGAGACCAGTGGAGCTGGAGGTGTCTCTTCACTCAGGCAGCTGCTACTGCTGAGCTGACAAACCTAGGGTCAACAAATAAAATGACACAGTACCAAAGTTATCAAACCACACTGCAGGCCACTAAGCCAAGTCCATTAACAGTCTCCAGATCGAAAGACAACATGACAGGCTGCTGAACAATGACTCAGCTACATGCAGGATTCAAGCGTGCTGAAAACCAGAGACCATTCCCAAAGCTTCTCCTTCTACACTGGGAGCCGACCACATGCCTAAGGCAGCTACTCAGCTGCTCCAGTAGATTCCACCAAGGATGTGATTACCAGTCTCATCGTGAGGAGTAACTACCTGCAACTGTCCAGGCACTCAGAAGCAGGCCCAGCCAGGTTGACACATAATCTTAACTATCACACTTTGCTTAAGGAATCTAGAAATAGGTCTACCTTTTTGATAGTTTTAGGATAACAAAAGGGTCTCTGGCCTTCCAAAACCTAATCTTTGTCTGAGACTTGCATAGCAGAAATACCATCTTTCCAAAGGACATGTTGGTCATGTTATTTCAGGAAGTGACTAGTAGCAAACCTAGTGATATCAGGTCAGAGATAGAACAAAGAATGGTAGTTAGAAGTCAGAGTACAGCTATGGTGTTGTTGTTGTAGTTATGTGCCATCAAGTAGGAGCTGACTCATAGCGACCCCACCTTGGATTTCTGAGGTGGTATCACTATGGAAGTATATCGCCCAACCTTCCTTCCAAGTTGTGGCTCACAGGTTTGAGCCACCAGCCTTTTGCTTGGCAGTCAAATGCCTTAGGCACTATGCTACCTGAGCTCCCAGAGTACAGCTAAGGAGCAGACTATTGTGTGAAATCACATGGGTGTGGACAAGAAATTCACTTCATCAACTTCTTTGCTCCCCCAGATCCTCCACCAAATAATAAAAAGGAAAAACTTATGAAAGGGCTTCTACATCTTAATGTCAATGGCATAAAAATCAATAAAAGTCATATATATCAATGTCACACACAGAACTAGTATTAATTTATTAAAAACCTTAATTATACTATTCTATTACATTGTATTATAGATTGACTGGAAATAGAAATTAATACAAAGGAATTTTATTCATAATATATGATTAAAAATGAATTTACTTCAATAGAAGATAAAAAAAAAATTCTGTTATATTTGGTATTATTCCAAATTATTTTTTAACATTTGTTAGAGACATAACATAAAATTTTTCAACAACTTTCCTCAGGGCATTCTTCACCTCTTGGTTCCTCAAGCTGTAGATCATGGGGTTCAACATGGGAATGATTATTGTGTAGAAAACAGAGGCCATTTTGTCTGTGTCAAGGGAATGGTTTGATTTTGGCTGAAGGTACATGAAGATCAGAGTCCCATAGAATATAGTTACTGCAGTGAGATGAGAGGCACAAGTTGAGAAAGCTTTGCACCTTCCTTCTGTGGACTGGATTCTCAAGATGGCAGCTGCAATGTATAAGTAAGAAATAAGAACAGTAGTCAAAGAGCTGATCATGTTGAATCCAGCAAAGATGAATATCAGAATTTCCTTGAGGCTGGTGTCTGAGCAAGCGAGGGCCATCAAAGGGACATCGTCACAATAGAAGTGATTGATGATATTGGGGCCACAAAAGATCAATTGGAAAGTAACTACAGTGTGGAGCAAAGCAACAGAAAAACTGTATAAGTAGGGACCCAATACCAGTTGCCCACATACTTTTGGGGACATGACCACCATGTAGAGAAGAGGACTGCAGATGGCTACATAACGATCATAAGCCATCACAGCAAGGAGGAACATCTCTGATATCAAGAAATTCAGGAAAAATCCAAGTTGAGTTGCACATGCATAGAAAGCTATAGACCTGCACTTGGTCAGGAGGATCTCCAGGAACTTGGGGGCTATCGATGAGGAGTAACAGAGGTCCACAAAGGCCAGATTACTGAGGAAAAAGTACATAGGTGTGTGGAGTCGGGAATCTAACCGGATCAATGAAATCATTCCAATGTTACCTACCAAAGTTAGAGTGTATACCACTAAGATGACCAGAAAGAGAATGATTTCGATCTCTCTATGAACTGAAAAGCCCAAAAGAATGAATTCAGTCACCCTAGTGCTATTCTCTTCAGCCATTAATTCCAGTCTTTCATCTGCTGGGGTGGGGGGGAGAGAGAGAGAGAGAGAGAAGATGAGGCATGAGATGAATTACTGGGAATAGAAATTTTGTTCTGATGCCCATTTCTGTGTGTTTAACTTTTGAGAGAATGTTGTTCAGTAATACAGGATATTAGAACACACAAACATATGCACTTCAAGCTATCTGGCTATTTATATGTGTGTTGTTGTTCTCTGTGTGCTGTCGAGTCGGACTCAACTCATATTGACCCCTCCTTGGGTTTCTGAGGCAGTATCACTATGGAAGTAGATTGCCCAACTTTCCTTCCAAGAAATGGCTGGTGGGTTTGAAGCACCAGCCTTCTGTTTAGCAGTCAAGTGCCTTAGGCTCTATGCTACCAGAGCTCTCATTTATATATGTAGGAGGCCAAAATTAAATAGTATTAAAGTCCAAAATGAGGATATATATATATATATATATATATAAAATAATACTTTTTTTTCTTAAAAAAAGTAAAAAAAAAATCTTTAAGTGTTTATAAAGAACTGGACAGTGTTTTGTTCTGTTGTAATAGGATCATTATAAGTCAGATATGCCTCTATAGCACCTAGCAACAACAACAAAGATTTTTACTTTTTAATGTTCACATAATTTTAAATTATATTGAAACAGGAAAAAAAAAATTGTTTTCTTCTCCCTTATTTTCTCCTTGGTAGAGCAATACATGAACCTACTTATTTGTTACAGTTTTTGCATACAGTTTTTCAAATACTTTATGCTAAATGAAAAATTAAGCAAGACAATTGGGAGAACAAAAGGAGCAGTTAGATATTTCTATTGTGTATTCAGGTGCATTTCTATGTGACCAATGTATTTTCAGATATTGCTGTATAAAAATAAAAGAGTAAAATTAACAGGACTAGAATATTATATATATATATATGCATACACACACACATACACATGAAAGGTATGTTTCTCAGGATTAAAGTAAATGAAAGTATTCTATTTGAATTACTCTGATAATGTAGAATTAGAAATATTAAAAAAAATATGGTTAATTTTCAGTGAAAAAAGTGGCCTAAATCCCTGCTTTTAATATCCCTTTGACAGAACAAATTACTCTTTTTAGGAAGTAACTTTCCTGTCTGAGGATTTTGCAAAGTTATTGTAAAAGCAATAACTTTTCTGCCCACAATTGTGGATATATAATTATAACCTTTTGGATTTTGCTTAAGGGTCCAAGTTGTTGATCTGGAATCTGAGTCTTGTGAGGGAGAAGGCAGGGAAAAGAGAGCTATAACATAAGAATGTTTCCATGGGTGCCCAAAATCACTCCTTTGGAGTCTGTATTGATACGAAGTAAAAAGACAAGTTCTCCTCCAATTACCCCCTAGTTCATTGTGTCTTCTCATATCTTGTTCCTCAGTGCCCTCCCATTCCTATCTTACCATTCAGAATTAATTTGCCTCAGTCCTGTGTATGTAACATGCATATAGTTATCACAGCATGCGTGATGTGTGGTTGTTGGGGGTCATATGACCCCCTCACTTCTGAAGCTTAGGAAGCTAACTTAATTTTGGAATAAAAACCAAGATATTCTCAACATATCAAATTACAAAGTTCAGAGTATACAAGTTTTGTTCCAATATAATGCTGAGAGTAAAATGGTATTTATTTAAGTTTGGTGTTTGTAGTCAAGTAATTTGTCCTTTTAATATTCTTTTCTTCCTCTATTGAACTAAGCTTAACACTATGACTAGTAATTAATGGATTTTCAAAATAAAATATGCAAACACATGTCAACATACATATATAACATGCCCATAAAATGCAAACATAAAATCTAACAAGACAAGTATTATCTTATCCCAGTCATATTTATTTTCTTCTTTTTGATAGCACCCACACTCACTATGTAAGAGACATGCTACAATGCAGCTATTGACTTGGTGTGTTTCCCCAAAAGTCTTAACACTGTTATTAGTAATACACACTATAATTCTGGGTATAAAAGTAGAAAGAGTAAATGAGAGAGTTGAGCTGGCTATCATCTGTCCACTCCAGGACCTGGGGACACACTGACTTTGATTCTGTATTTGTTCTTCCATGATAAACTTCACTTTGGAAGAAATGAGTAATAAGAGCTATACCACTGAATTAGTTTTCTTTGAACATATCCTGGAATAAGTTCCATTTTATTTCCATGTGTATCCATGATAAAAAAAAAGAAAGGCAAAACCTTTACATCTTTGACGCTCTCAAATTTTGGAAAGATAAACTCCCATTTCACTTAGGGGTGTCTCCTTGATAGCCCTTTTTTTTTTTTTAATTTTTTTTTTTAAGATCAAAACATTTTCTTCTAAGAGAAAGGCAACTCTCTCACACACAAATGTTCTTTTTCCAGAAGAATTGGTGTCTTTAGTTTTATCAGAAAACATTTTCTTCTAAAGGAGGGTTATTTGATTCTTATGTATATACATTGTCCTCATTCATTGGGACTCATTCAGGGTCATCTATATCTGAAGCATAAAGTTGTGGATAACTTAGGAGGCTATTGGAAATGACTGATGGAGACTGTGCACCTACCTGGTTTTGGCAGAAATCTTCCCCTGAATGTTTCCAAAAGGGTCTCCTTTCGGATGACTCTCAGTGTGGGTATGGGTACGAGTGATATATAACTTTATACCTTGGAATCTATTCCTCTGAGAATTAATACTCCATGTTCCCCAGGCATGATTCCCCTCAGATTATTGACTCTCCAGAACCCAGCTGTGATTAGAAACGTCTAATAAAGTAAAGATTAGCTTATAACTGCTAAAGTAGCATGATAGAATATCTGAATTACAATACATTACCATAATCACTAGTCCTGTTTATATACATACAATGTTATTTGTACAAACAAAACAAAGCACAAAATAAAAAAAGGTAAATAACACAGTCATTTCTAATGTATTGCCATCACATTTATATTAGTCCCCTTCCTTTCCTGTGAACTCCTTAGTGAGAGGGATCTTGACTTTATCATTTATTCTGCTATCTCCTAACAAAGTGAGCTTCATACAAAAAAAGTTTTAAGTTTTAAAATATACAAATTATGGGTCAGGTCTGACTCAACGGCAAATAACAACAGCAACAATATTTTATTTTCTACATGAAGAAATGAGCACCATAACAAATATTTATTATTTAAATTCTAAGAGAGGTTACAGAGATTTATTTATTTATTTTTTTCACATTTAACTTCATAAAATCTGGACATTAATCTGTTGTGTGAACTGAGACAGGAATTTAACTCAAGTGCAGAAAATATAACCAGGCCTCAACGAAACCAGATGTAGGCTTGGGAAACTGTAGGAGCAAAGATAGCTACCCTCTTACTCTCTTTGAGCCCACACAGGTTTCTCAAGGCTAAGTTTCTGTATTCTCTCTCTACTGACCACCTTTCTGCTTCCCGGTGCAGAGGGTAGTCTCCAGGAGAGGCTCAGCTCCAGAATTCACTTAACCTAAGACTATGCGGGAGCTTTGGTGGCATAGTGCCTAAGGCACTTGACTGCTAACCAGAAAGTTGGAGGTTCAAACCCACTAGCGACTCCTCAGAAGGAAGGTTGGGCAATCTACTTCCATAGAGATACTGCCTTGGAAACCGAAGAAGGGGTCACTATGAGTTGGAGACCATCCGCTGGCACATAACAACAACAACAACAGCAACAAGATTACGTGATTGGTGGACTCTTGCTAGGATTGTTGTTGTTAAGTGCCGTGGAGTCGTTTCCGACTCATAGCGACCCCATGCACAGCAGAAAGAAACAGTGCCCCATCCTGCGCCAGCCCCACAATCCCTGCTATACTTGAGTCCATCATTGAAGCCACCGTGTCAATCCATCTCATTGAAGGCCTCTCGTTGAAGGCCATCTCGTTGCTAGGATTACTGAATTCCAATTCCAAATTGCCTGGAAAGACATGTAATTGGCTCAGCCTCATTCATGTGACCACCCCAATCTGCACTCATAGGGGTAGGACCACTAATACAACAATGGATGTCACATTCTACCCTTGTGAAAGAGGGGCAGACTCGGAGGACAGGAGGTCATTAAGGTGGGGAAAGCAGTCAAAATTGTATACATTTTCTTTGCTTATTAATCACTTTTCTACTATCATTCAGAATAGTTACAGAGATTGTATTAGAGTCTAAGGGTGATAAATTATAGAAGATAAATTTATTCCTCCCAGTGAGCATCTCAGAAAAAAGGCTACTCTTTAAATCTAAGCTAAATTCAGGTATATCTTGACATATTGACAGATTAGTGCCCATTGCTTCTCAGGTAGTATTGTGATTCTTATGTATTTGCACGATTACATGAGGAGCTCTGCTGGCATAGTGCCCAAGGCATTTGACTGCTAACCAGAAGGCTGGCGATTCAAACCTACAAGCCACTCCTCAGAAGGAAGGTTGGGCAAACTGCTTCCATAGTGATACCTCCTCGGAAATCCAAGGAGGGGTCTCTATGAGTCGGATTCAACTCCACGGCAGTGAGGTTTTTTTTTTTTTTTTTTTTTTTTAATGAGCTCTTTGGGACTAGTCTCCTATATTCACAGTATTGGACTAGTCTCCTATACTGTAATGATGGACTTTATTTCACATTAACTACCTTAATCAGTCAGTGTTCACTATACCTTAACACTGCTTGAGCCTCACCAACTTATTTTAAAATTAAAATTTTAGTTCTGTGAATGTTTACTTGATATCTGCCTTCTCTACCTGGTAGTGCAGCACTATCAGGCCGGGGCTGTGTTTGGTTTTACTTTCAAATGTCATCATCACCTGATATCAAATACAAGGTAGACAACAAATATTTGAATGAATTACTGAATAAACAAATGAATTCTATTATATTTGAAGGATTAAATTGATTTTAGATTGTATTGTTTTATATCTTTGTTGTTGTTATTTATATGCCATCTAGTCAGACTCCTTGGGTTTCTGAGGCAGTATCACTATGGAAGTAGATTG